TCAAATTCCGATGTTACCAGTAGCAAGTTATGTTCCCCCTTCCCCTCAAGTGCTGAGTGTTGGCCTTATCCCCTGGTCACTCTTCTCTGTACCATTCTCTTCCACAGACAGTGCTGATCTGTTTGTTCCTCCGCACCGTTCACTAGATCCCAAAGGGTCTTGACCACATCTAGCTTGTCATACCATGCACTTACTACCAAGTTGTGCATTATCAGACAGTCTGTCTGCATGTTCTTTTCCCAACACACACGAATCCCTGAAGAAAATACCCAAAGGACGCTAACTACATAGGACCTCTGACCACTCTTTTTGGAGCAAACTTGTCTCCACCTTTCCCAGCATGTGTTGAGAGTCTGTAACAATCGCCAAATGTGCCTGGAGAGCCATCTTGTGCAGGCAGAGTATCTTGCTCAATTTAGAGTTAATTAAGGACGGGTATAAATTATGTTTAAGTACTGGTAAGTAGAAAAAAGTAAAGGGCTCTTTTCCAAGTCTTCCGGCATACTGGGCAGGTTTTTTTATTCAAAGTAGTCCCCATGTGGCATGCAATTTTTTTGTTATTTAAAGCCCCACCCTGGCTTCTGCCGGGGGCCCTGAATATAGCCGGGGCATTGATATGGCCTAGCCATAGGTATGGCCTAACGCCTGAAAGGGGTTCCTGGGACTTCTCCACGGGTGATCCTCATCCGTATGGTGGCACTTTGTGTCATCGGGTGTTTATCGCTCGCGTGATGTCCTGGTGGGTTGCCACTACCAACCTGCCCATATAGGGTTAGACCTATATTATATAGAGCAACCAGCACTCGGTGGATGATGTGGTCAACATCAAATCGGTCGCCTTTACTTCCCAGGACTGTTCTCGATACCAGTTTAAGGCTGGGTCGACCTGGAAGCCGAGGTAATATTTTTAAGGAAGAAAAGTCCGGCTCCATCAGAACCTGAAGCTGTGACCTTCCGTTCTGCAGGCGAGCCTGTTTAGCATTGGTGCAGAACCAGTACTCATTTTTAGGCAAAAACAGCACACACACTTATTTGTCCATTTAAAGAAAATGCATTGTGACGCCACAAGATATAAGACATACTTCAAAAGAGAAGAAGAATGTACAGAATTAATTAAATTTTTCACCACCAGAGCAAAACGAGGGAAACACACCCGGCGACACAAAGTGCCACCTTTCTGATGGTAATCTCCCCGGGCACAAAATCCAGAAACCCTATTCAACCGTTAGGCTATTTTAGAGTCTCCGACGAAAGCCAGGGTAGGGCTTTAAAAAAAAGTGTGTTCCATATTTCAAAGTGGTAGACCAAGAAGGAAAAGTAACATCGGAGACACTGTACAAAAATACTGCGTGTCTATGGTCGATGCCGCCTGAAGAAGAGGAAGCAAAACCTTATATCTCTCTCGACACAGGAAACGGTAAAAAAAGGAAGTGAAGAAGAAGACATATCATACAATACTGACGATAGAAACAATCTTCAGACGAGAATGGCTGACGCTACCTGTTGTATCCGAGGATGCCTTTCCCATCTTGGGTACATGGATGTAAGGGCGGATAACTCCACCCGTGTCTCGGGTGTAAGATGAACCAGCAAGAATCCACAAACAAATCAATAGGTACTCTTGTTCATGGCTGAACATCTGTTCCTTGTCTTTCTTGAGTAACGAATGCAGTGTTCATTTACTGCTAGTGGTTTCCGAAAAAAATACATAAATTTAGAATCCTGCAACTGTGTGTGTGTGTGCATGTGGTCACAGAGGGCGGGGGGGTTGGGGGGGGTAATGGAGCCAGATAGTTGGGTGAGTAGCTAAGTAGATAGGGAGACTGAATCGTGAAGGTAGGTTTGTGTATATATACACACACACATTGTAGATAGCTGTGTAACAGACATGTACAGATTGTAGATAGTTGTGTAAAAGACATGTCACAGATTGTAGATAGTTGTGTAAAAGACATGTCACAGATTGTAGATAGCTATGTAACAGATTGTACATAGCTGTGTAACAGACATATCACAGATTGTAGATAGCTGTGTAACAGACATGTCACAGATTGTAGATAGTTGTGTAACAGACATATCACAGATTGTAGATAGTTGTGTAACAGATATGTCACAGATCGTAGATAGTTGTGTAAAATACATGTCACAGATTGTAGATAGTTGTGTAACAGACATGTCACAGATTGTAGATAGTTGTGTAACAGACATGTCACAGATTGTAGATGGTTGTGTAACAGACATGTCACAGATTGTAGACAGTTGTGTAACAGACAAGTCACATATCATAGATAGTTGTGTAACAGACATGTCACAGATTGTAGACAGCTGGGTAACAGACATGTCACAGATCGTAGATAGTTGTGTAACATACATGTCACAGATTGTAGATAGCTGGGTAACATACATGTCACAGATTGTAGATAGTTGTGTAAAAGACATGTCACAGATTGTAGATAGTTGTGTAACAGACATGTCACAGATCATAGATAATTGTGTAACAGACATGTCATAGATTGTAGATAGTTGTGTAACAGACATGTCACAGATTGTAGATAGCTGTGTAACAGACATGTCACAGATTGTAGACAGTTATGTAACAGACATGTCACAGATCGTAGATAGCTGTGTAAAAGACATGTCACAGATTGTAGATAGTTGTGTAACAGACATGTCACAGTTTGTAGATAATTGTGTAAAAGACATGTCACAAATTGTAGATAGTTGTGTAACAGACATGTCACAGATTGTAGATAGTTGTGTAACGGACATGTCACAGATCGTAGACAGTTGTGTAACAGACATGTCACAGATCATAGATAGTTGTGTAACAGACGTGTCACAGATTGTAGATAGCTGGGTAACAGACATGTCACAGATTGTAGTTAGTTGTGTAAAAGACTTGTCACAGATTGTAGATAGTTGTGTAACAGACATGTCACAGATCGTAGATAGTTGTGTAACAGACATGTCACAGATTGTAGATAGCTGTGTAACAGACATGTCACAGATGTAGATAGTTGTGTAACAGACATGTCACAGATCGTAGATAGTTGTGTAAAAGACATGTCACAGATTGTAGACAGTTGTGTAACAGACATGTCACAGATCATAGATAGTTGTGTAACAGACGTGTCACAGATCGTAGATAGTTGTGTAACAGACATGTCACAGATTGTAGATAGTTGTGTAACAGACATGTCACAGATTGTAGATAGTTGTGTAACAGACATGTCACAGATTGTAGATAGTTGTGTAACAGTCATGTCACAGATCACAGATAGCTGTGTAACAGACAAGTCACAGATCATTGATAGTTGTGTAACAGACATGTCACATATCCTGCAAAAGGTACATAAATCATACAGGAACACGGTCACACACACACTGCACACATACCTGTCTGTACCCAATGTTTCACTGTAATGCTTGTATTACCAAACAACTAATTTGAGTATCAACTTTAGCAGATATTTTACTCAGTGCTAAACCAAGATAACAAGTAGATAATGATGTTTTTATGCTGATAATGAAGTTGCCACACATCAAACTATGGCCAACTTTATGATATCAGTGTCAAACATGGACCAGTGAGTGGAAAATCGTAGCAGAGATATCTGGAGCGAGTTCCAGGAATAACCAGGAGAGATAACATTTCTTCTTCTTCGCATTCACCTGCTGTTAACTCTGGCAGACAGTCCTTGTTGTTCATCCACTTCTGGATTTTAGTCTTGTTCGATAACTTGAATTTTGCGTGCTCATCTGTTTCACATATAAAGTTTATTTGTATGCAGACTGTTGGTTCATAGAGTCTCATGCAGATACCCCCAAATATAGATGAGAACAACATGGAGAAATAAAAAGAGCAATGAAGATTTCTTCAAGGAAATTAACTCACGAAGGGAACTGATTGCCCACAACAGGGGGAGACAATCTACATTCTTTGGATATGCCTTGAGAAGGAGAAAACTGGGGTACATTGTGACAGTGGAAAAGTTGGAGGAAAAGAAGGAGAAAACTGGGGTACATTGTGACAGTGGGAAAGTTGGAGGAAAAGAAGGAGAAAACTGGGGTACATTGTGACAGTGGAAAAGTTGGAGAAAACTGGGGTACATTGTGACAGTGGAAAAGTTGGAGGAAAAGAAGAAGAAAACTGGGGTGCATTGTGACAGTGGAAAAGTTGGAGGAAAAGAAGGAGAAAACTGGGGTACATTGTGACAGTGGAAAAGTTGGAGGAAAAGAAGGAGAAAACTGGGGTACATTGTGACAGTGGGAAAGTTGGAGGAAAAGAAGGAGAAAACTGGGGTACATTGTGACAGTGGGAAAGTTGGAGGAAAAGAATCAGGGAAAGACCAACAGAGAGGATGCTGGGCAGTTTGAGATAGCATGGAAGATAATCTGTGTCAGAAATGGTTAAAGTAGAATGTTGTAGATTGACATGACTACCAGTGCCACACGCCATGGTTTCTAAGAAGAAGAAGAAGTGTTGTAATTAAGCTGATTAGAAGAGACCTCAAACTTTCAGAATTTGTCTTCCTTGACAGTTCTTTTTTGCAATAACCGATTGTAAACTCAGGCAGACAGTTCTGATTGTTTGTCCACCTCTGGATTTTAGTCTTGTTCCAGAACCTGAGTGTTGCGTGCACATCCATTTTACAGATCTGACTAATTTATATGCACACTGTTGGTTTCTTGCCTCTCAAGCAGATGCCCTCCCTGACTTTGAAGTCATTTAAAACGTGCTTGTTGGGGAGGCAGTGGGTTTATTCTTGTTTTCCTCTCAACAGATTACCCAGAAACCACACGGGAAGATTCCTATACACAATTTATTTGCACTTTTTAAAAATTATCTAACTGATTGCATTGCATCTAATTACAACGAAAGGTCAAAAGTTTTACAAGAAAAAAAATGAAAATTAAAACCATATTCAATTACATCATTTATTTAAAAAAAAAAAAAAACATACATAACAAACAACAAAAGCCAGGTTTTCACGAAAGTGCTATTTAAAATCTGTGTACTTATTGGCTTTCCCATAAGATTTATCTACTGGGTACTTCAGGGCATTGGCTGCCATTTTACTTTCCATGGCTTTTGGAAGATCAATCCGACATCGGCTGGCAAAATCAACGAGGTAGATTAGAATATCACTGACTTCTTGGCCAACATGTTCTCTTTCTGCCTGGCTCAATTCTGGAGAAGATAACAAAAGAAATCATGAAAACACTCAAAGCCATTGCCACAGCTTCTTTCTTCTGTAGTTCTGTTCTACCATTGAGCGTCAGGTTTTGAAGAGGCATCAGGTGTGAGTCTTGGTCTCCATAGAACATGTATAAGCACAGATGGAGTTATGCCTCTAATGGCATTGGTGATATGTTTGTTATGGTTATTGTTGTTCTCTTATGTTAAAAGTTAGCTGCATATCCTTTACAGGACGTTGCAGAACCAACCCCAAATTTTTTTTTTGTCTTTTATGGTTTTTCTAGGCAAATTTTACGTTCAGTAGTTTGTCACTGCTTACTGAATGGTCAGCTCTCGGTACCACGGTCGAAACCAACTTAAGGCAAACTGTCCGCAGCTCTGATTGAAGCCGGCACCTCAGCATTAGGAAGCGCGTTCACAACACCTAAGCTACAGGCACTGATGACTTGTTGCCCTATGTATGGAAACCTATGGGACATCTTGATTGTGTCTCTATCCCTAGTGTAGGCTCTGAGGCCCAGTCGTTGGGGGGAAAACCTGTCCCTTGGTACCTTAACAAGTGTGCTGTAAAAGGCAATTCATTAAGGGTTAGCTGAAATCAGATGTTTTGGTTGAACAGTGCACATAACACAGCCTAGCAGTAAACCACAACACAATGAGCCAACAAACTTTTTAACCTGGCAGCTCCAAGAAGCCACAAAACCAACACATGTCCACCGAGGTTAAAGTCCCTGGTAAATGACTAATCTAACTGTTCTATAGTGGCATGTTTCTGAGACACCAAGTAAATGCCACTAGTTGTGTTTGCACCTGCACAGCATTTAGGAGGTCAGGCTATAAATATATTTCATAAACATAGCATTGTGGGCAAAGGGAGAAACCTTGTGAATAAAATGGCTACTTTAAAGCAATTCTGAGGTAATTATTTGCTTAAAAGCACTGGTGTTAGAATTCTTATGAGGTCACAGTATGAATGACCCGATACATTTGTTTAGGGAAATGAACTCCAATTACATCTTCACTTGGGGCCATGTTTATTGATTACTTTGCTGTACATTTTCTGGAAAAAGAATTAAAATTTTCATTGACCTGTGTAAAATGGTAGTTATTTTCATGATCCCCTTTATTTCACACTTACAGGGCGATAGGGCTGAGGTGAATTTTGGAAATAAAAGCCGCAACAAATAAAAAAAAGAAAACCTATGACATCACTCACCTGGCAGACCTTCTGACACCTCCCCTTTCCACTGGCTGAAAAACAGAAATAGATTGTGGGTTAGAAATGTTTATTGTTGAAATTCTTCTAATAACCTTAGTGTTCATCAGTTGCAAACTTTAGTTTTGTTCCAGGACCTGAGTGTTGTGTGCACATCCATTTAACAGATCTAGCGTATTTGTGTGCAGAATGTTGGTTTCTTATCTCTCTGGCAGATGCACTCTGACTTCGAAGGAAACATTTATACTTTGTTGGCCAGGCTTCCAACTGGGAACTTGTTTCAAGGGTGACCGCAAAGAGGTGCAAACTGTTGGTTTCCTTGTCTCTCAGGCAGATGCACCCCAACTTCGAAGGAAAGATTTATCCTATCTATGCTGGCCAAGTTTCCGCCTGGAAAGCTGTTTCTAGGGTGACAGCAAAGAGGCGTACACCACTTAGTGCACAGGCCCTAGTGCACCGCCACGTGTGATCCAGCACTTCTGCATCCCACTGTTAAAATTAACATCACATCTTTTTACAGTTTCCGCCATGTGGCATGGGTATTTATGCCTGTCTACAGCCTTGTGTCTTACATACTGTCAATCAGTTCTGATACAGCTGTTTTTCCCTGCCATACTGTGAAACTGTCAGTCATCTTCTGTCTCCATCTTTCTCAGCTTGTCTTCCCCCTGACCTCCACTGTCACAACATACTTGTATTTTCCCCCACTCAAGACACACCTAAAGAGTTTATAAAAAGGTTTCATTAGAAACCTGTTCATGCCGCACCACGAGTAACTGTGTGTGTTAAATATGATCATGTGATAAGTACTGACCAATGAATACAAGAGCATGTGCTTATCCTCTCATGATGTATATGTTCTATTTCTGACCATTGAGAAAATGGCGGGGTTGATCAAAAATCAGTCCAATGAAGCTCAAAGAGCGATGATTCAGTTTCTCACATTTGAGGGACATCGATCAGTGAATATTCATTGAAGAATGCATGCAGTATATGACAACAAATGTGACCTGAAGACAACAGTAAAAGAATGGGCATTTTGGAAAGGACCTGAGTTCATACTCAATAGATCTTCTACAGCCAATTCAAGCGTACATTGTTGCAAAAGAAGAAAAAACATAATCAAAACTGATGCAATGACACAGCAGAACCTTTGACAAAAAATATGTGAACTAGTAAAGAATTAGATGTGTTCTTCTTCTTTTCCGCGTTGACCGGCTGTAAACTCTGGTGGAAAGATCTGGTTATTGTCCACCTCAGGACTTTAGTCTTGTTACACAGCCTGCATTTTGCGTATACATTAGTTTAACAGGTCTGGATTATTTGTATGCAGACTGCTGGTTCCTTGCCTCTCTGGGAGATGCACTATGACTTCAAATAAAGCTCCCAAATAGTTGACTCTTACAAAATGCTTTTGGAGAGGCAGTGGGTCTATTCTTGTTTCCCTTCATGACAGGGCCCCAGAACCAACACAGGGAACCTATGATATGGTTTCTTTATTAGTAGAGAACCTGATGTAAAAGAGGTGACAATTGTAAATAAAAAGGGTTGTTAACTGAATGTTGAATTAAGAATCGACATCACAGCACTCAGGACACCCCTATAAGCGCTCTGTCCCCATCTTCGGCAGCAAGTGAAGAGTTAAGTGTTAACTGAGACAGGCTTTTTATTAAAAAAACTGGAATATCGGAAGGTGTGTTCACAGTGAGTATCATGGATTTGACCGACTACCAAAAAGAGGAATGTATGGGATGGTGTCTGAACTTTTTGCTACATTACAGAGCGAAGGGTAATGCCTTTCTCTTTGGCACAGCTGCAGGCAATGAATCACGGTGTCACCGCTATAAGCCAAGCAGAAAAAGACAGCCTGCAACAGATGCATGCTGGATCGCTAAAAGCCAAATAATTGAAGTTATTGGTTTCTACTGCTAAGGTTATGCTTAAAACCTTTTTTCACTATAAAAGGCTATTGTTGGCAGACTTTAGAAAAGCTGGTGTCAACATCCACTCTACCACTAGTTAGAACAGACAAGCTGCTTTAAGCCAAAAGCCAGTATGCTTTCTTGCAGTGTGATTGTGTTGCACAATAATGCTTATTCGCATTTTGTAAACACTGTGCTGAAAGCGTTAGCAGGAAAGAAGTGTGACCATGTGATTTTCATTTGTTTGGACCTCTAAAAATGCTCCCAAGAGGCAATTATTTCACCCAGATTTAGACGTAAACACTTGCTTCAGTGAGTGTGTGTGGACAACATTCGCTGCCTATCTGAGCAACAGGATGTTTGCCTGAATACCCTCATGCTTGAATGCCTCCGGTGGCTTTTTCTGACCAACCTTTTGCAACATCTAAGCCACAGACTCTGGCCATTCTTCAGACAGAAAAATAAAGATAGAATGCACAAGAAGCTTTAATAGTCCATTTAGATAAGCTGCTACTTACAAAATCTCAGCAAGCTCACCAACTTCTCCCACTAAGGCCAACAACACATTTCGAGGACTGTGAAACTGATCCCAGTTACGAGCCTTGATGAACTCTTCATTTAGCTGCCTCCTAAAAAAAAAAAAAAATTCAATGCATGACATGAACCAGGCAGAGGAAGATAAATAAATGCTTTTTCTTCGTGACATGCTGTATTGTGGTATACAGCTAGGCTGTGATATCTGTGCCTTTCGGCCCAACACATACGATATAACTGTTAGAGCAGTGGGTCTGTTTTTCAACTTCACCCAAATGGGACCCCAGAACCCATCATGGACTGAAAAAATGCTGAAATATAAATAATATAAACTGAAATTTATCTTACTTATGAAAAAAGTATATTAATACAGAAATGAAATGGGTCGAGGGAGTACAAGAGACGCTGCTAAAACACAATATGATATTAACAATAGTTACGCAACTAGCAAAGGACAGAAAACTACATCTAACTCGTCTCTGTGAAGCTTTACGGCATAAGCTGTAGGACAAAGAAGAAAACACAAATGTAAATATACGGGAAAAGACGTCATTTCAACCTTTTATTTTGCTGGATGCAGCTCAGTATCCATCTTTTGTCAGCTTACGATATAACAAATTAACCTGTCTATGAAGGTTAGTTGTGTATCCTTTACAGGACGTTGCAGAATCAACTCCAGCATTTTTGGCTGTTGTGGTTTTTTGAGGCAAATTTTACGTTCAATACTTTGCCATTGCTTTTCTGAATGGTCAGCTCTTGGTACCACTGTCAAAACCAATGCAAAATAAACCGGATTGAACCCTGCCCCCTGGCACTATGAAGCATTGTTTGCAACACTTAAGCCACGGATACCGACTTTATGATGCTATTTGCCACTAAAATGTTAATATCTCCCCTTAGAATTGACTTACAGGCACTGAGGTATTGTTGGATTGGATATTGTTTTTCTTCTTGAGTATAAACTCTAGATATATCTATATATACATTTGGGAGTTGCCGTGGCGTAGAGGCTAGATGCTCACATGTGGATCAGAAGGTCGTGGGTCGCTCTCTGGCGGAGCCGGACTAAAAAAAAAATTACCTTGACTTCCAGGTTGACCCAGCCTTGAGTGGGCACCGGGTGCAGTCCCGGGAAGTAAAGGTGGCCGGCGTGATGCTACCACATCACCCATCTTGTGCCGATTGGTCTATAAAAATATAGGGCTAGCCCTATATGCCTAAATACGTGGAAAGGGGACCTGTACTTTTACTTATAGCACTTCACTAGAAGCATCCCTATAATTGCATAATATGTTAATATAATATAAAAGGTAAAGTCGGGAGATGTGAACCAGCGTCATTGCAGATGGTTATTAACCATAAGTGCTCTGCCACCAGTACGGACAGCTGATAAGAAACTGTCCACCTCTTATTGACTGAGCTAACGCGACTTTCACTTTGTATTAACGAGACAGTTTCAATGTATGTAAAGTAATAGTATGTATCTTACTTACAGATGCTCCAGATTGGCAGATTTTAAATTATCACTGAAGGAAAAACTGCCTTCCTTAGTCACGTCTGGACAGTTATCTTCACAATTTGTCTTTTGTATGACCGCGCCTGCAACATGATGATCACGAACGACATTAAGCGCTACAACCTCTTCTTTATCACTGAAAATATCAGTAACTCCCACCTCTCCCTGAGACATGTTTACAGGGTTTTGTTAAAATTTTAAATGTGTGCGCTGTGACGTATTCTACACTTTAGCAGTCATTGTGTTGGTTATCATGTCCCAGGCTGTTAGGCGTTGACGGTCCAAAAATGTGTGTGTGTGTGATAGTGTGCTGTGTGTCTGTGATAAACTGTCTCAATGACTTAGTACGACTGATTTCTAGTCTGTCTGACTGACCGACTGACTGTCAAATGGATTGTGTGTGTGTGGTGTGTGTGTGTGTGGTGTGTGTGTGTGTGGTGTATATTTGTAAGGATATATACGACAAGGATGTGTACTGTCACCTGATTTGTTTTCACTATACAATCTGGTAATCTTGTAATTTTATTTTCAGCTTCTTAGCAAACGGGTCACCCCATAGTTGCTCCTCTCCTGTGCCAACGAAAAGCACACAAAATGTTTAATACACTTCAAATGAAATCCTCATCTCACAGTATCACACCATGCACTCAGCTCAAAAGCTGGGCAACGAAACTATATCCTTAGAGTCTACAAATGGAGCACAAATGCAACGGCAACCGTCTGGCAGAAGCAAAAAAAAAAAAATTGCTAAAATAAGTGGCCGTGCTTAGCGTCCATTTTGACCTGAAGCATCATGTGAGGATTAATAAACGGTCACCCCAGCAGTACCCTCACTATTAGATGAGGAAGGGACTTAGGACATTACATCCACCAGCAAGCGTCGCCCCTACAACGACCTGACTGCCTTTGTTAACGACTGTTCACCCAACAGCCATGCAGTTTTTTGGCACGAATAAGACACCTTGAACTTGGGTTTCGGACTGCTGACTCCCTACAAGATGTTATGTTATTTTCTGTTATCACAATCAACGTCACTGCACATTGAGCATTCCCATGCCTCATTCATTCATTCAGTAGCATGTCCCTCGCGGAACCTCGCTGCCATAACAACCCTCCGGAAAACCTTCCTATCATGAGCAAGATGTCCTGCGTCTGATACACCCATCTGGAGATCATCTGCCACATCCTGCACCCATCTTCTCCTTGGCCTTCCTCTTCCTCTCTTCCCAGGCATATACCCCTCCATTATTGTTCTCTCTAGACCTCCATGACGTTTCAAGTGACCAAAATATTTCAATTTTCTTTGTTTTATTGTCTTTACTAGCCAACCCTCTTCAATATTCAGCTCTTGAAGTATGGATGCATTTGTTCTTTTCTTTACCCAAGATATTCTTAGAACCTGTCTGTAACATTTATATTCAAATGCATTTATGCGCTGTTCCGCTTGTTTAGTAAGTGTCCAGGTCTCACAGGCGTATGTTGCAATGGGAAAAGATGCATGCTCTTAAAAATCTGACCTTTGTAATTCTATCTGTACAATTCCATAATTTATTCAGTTGTTTTAGTCTTTGAAGAGCAATTGATAGTCGCCGTTTAATTTCTTTAATTGTGTCACCGTTGTTGGTAACCAGTGACCCAAGATATTCGAAATTTTCCACCACTTCCAATCTTTCCTCATTAACATATATTTCTTTCTCCATGGCAGTTTTTGTTTGTATGCATTATCTTTGTTTTTGCTGTGTTAAGAAATAAGTTATGATTTTCACTATTTCTTTGGAGTGAGGTTAATAAGTTTTCTAAACCATTTTGTGATGTTGATAGTAATACTGTATCATCAGCATAACGAATTTCTGGTATTTCATGACCACCGATGTTTAGGGCATCATATTGTTCCTTGTTTATATCATCTCTTACATTTCTCATTATATTTTCGGCGTACAGGTTGAACAAATACGGTGACAGCACACATCCCTGACGGACTCCTTGCTTGATGCCAAACCAGTCTGATGTCTCTCCATCTATTCTGACTGCTGCTTGTTGGTCTTGATAGAGCATTTTAATGAGCTGCACTATATGTGATGGAAAGCCCATATTCCTCATGATTTCCCAAAGCTTCTGATGTTGTACACAGTCAAATGCTTTTGAATAATCCACAAAACATAAGAACAGATTTACATTAAATTCTCTACACTTCTCTATTATTAAACGCTTGTTAAATATATGATCTCTTGTTCCTCTTCCCTGTCTAAATCCAGCCTGAGCTACATTAATCTCTTCTTCCATTTTCTTTTGCATTTTCTTTTCCATGCCTAGTGACAATATAAACAACTTACGTTATGCCGATGACACAGTCTTGATAGCAACAAGTCAGAAAAAACTACAGGAAATTATAGACATTGAGGTGTTAGAAAGTGGAAGAATGGGCCTCTGTTTGAGTAAAGGGAAGACAGAAATATCAAAGAAACGAATTATTCCTAAATGTGTAATAAAAGTCGATGGTGTTATTTTGGGACAAATACAGATATTTAAGTATCTGGGGATATGGGTAACATCAGATGGAAGATGCATAATTGAGATAAAAAACAGTATAGGACATCCAAAAACTGCATTTTATAAAAAGAAAAACATCTTGTGCAATATGTCTTTGTCATTGAGAGTTATACAAATAATTCTTGCTTGCTACATACATCCAGTTTTAACATATGGTTGTGAATCCCGGACAATCGGTAGACAGGCCAAACAATTTCTTGAGGCCTCAGAGATGTGGTTTTACAAAAAACAAAAAACAAAAAATGCTTAGAATATCGGACAACCAAAAAGAGCAACCAAGAGGTTTTGAAAAAAGCGGAAGCCCAAAGACAACCAATCACAAACATCAGAAGGAGACAGTTATCATTTTTCGGCCATGTTATGAGAAGAGGGAAAATAGAACGTTGTGACCACTGGAAAGATCTGTGGAAGGAGATAGACAACGAGAGAAGATTCGTAGTCTTGTCGCATGGCATGGAGGTGTGTCGGCACACGAACTGATACATGCTGCAGGAGATCGCAGATTGTGGAGAGGCATGATGGCCCACGGCAGTCGATATATGGTCGATTAAATGTCCTATTCACGGACTGTAAGGTGGATTGTCTAAATTACTGTGTGTGTGTATCAGGTCGATTAAATATTTGATTGACTGACTGCCAGATGGACCAAGTTACTGTCAATTTTATTCATTAAATGTCTGCTTTTTTGTTTGAATGCCTTCTATCAACTTGACTATTTTTTAACTGGTTGTCTGTTTGATATACTGACTGTGTTTATGCTTATCTATCTATCTATCTATCTATCTATCTATCTATCTATCTATCTATCTATCTATCTATCTATCTATCTATCTATCTATCTATCTATCTATCTATCTATCTATCTATCTATCTATCTATCTATCTATCTATCTATCTATCTATCTATCTATCTATCTATCTATCTATCTATCTATCTATCTATCTATCTATCTATCTATCTATCTATCTATCTATCTATCTATCTATCTATCTATCTATCTATCTATCTATCTATCTATCTATCTATCTATCTATCTATCTATCTATCTATCTATCTATCTATCTATCTATCTATCTATCTATCTATCTATCTATCTATCTATCTATCTATCTATCTATCTATCTATCTATCTATCTATCTATCTATCTATCTATCTATCTATCTATCTATCTATCTATCTATCTATCTATCTATCTATCTATCTATCTATCTATCTATCTATCTATCTATCTATCTATCTATCTATCTATCTATCTATCTATCTATCTATCTATCTATCTATCTATCTATCTATCTATCTATCTATCTATCTATCTATCTATCTATCTATCTATCTATCTATCTATCTATCTATCTATCTATCTATCTATCTATCTATCTATCTATCTATCTATCTATCTATCTATCTATCTATCTATCTATCTATCTATCTACTATCTATCTATCTATCTATCTATCTATCTATCTATCTATCTATCTATCTATCTATCTATCTATCTATCTATCTATCTATCTATCTATCTATCTATCTATCTATCTATCTATCTATCTATCTATCTATCTATCTATCTATCTATCTATCTATCTATCTATCTATCTATCTATCTATCTATCTATCTATCTATCTATCTATCTATCTATCTATCTATCTATCTATCTATCTATCTATCTATCTATCTATCTATCTATCTATCTATCTATCTATCTATCTATCTATCTATCTATCTATCTATCTATCTATCTATCTATCTATCTATCTATCTATCTATCTATCTATCTATCTATCTATCTATCTATCTATCTATCTATCTATCTATCTATCTATCTATCTATCTATCTATCTATCTATCTATCTATCTATCTCTCTATCTATCTATCTATCTATCTATCTATCTATCTATCTATCTATCTATCTATCTATCTATATCTATCTATCTATCTATCTATCTATCTATCTATCTATCTATCTATCTATCTATCTATCTATCTATCTATCTATCTATCTATCTATCTATCTATCTATCTATCTATCTATCTATCTATCTATCTATCTATCTATCTATCTATCTATCTATCTATCTATCTATCTATCTATCTATCTATCTATCTATCTATCTATCTATCTATCTATCTATCTATCTATCTATCTATCTATCTATCTATCTATCTATCTATCTATCTATCTATCTATCTATCTATCTATCTATCTATCTATCTATCTATCTATCTATCTATCTATCTATCTATCTATCTATCTATCTATCTATCTATCTATCTATCTATCTATCTATCTATCTATCTATCTATCTATCTATCTATCTATCTATCTATCTATCTATCTATCTATCTATCTATCTATCTATCTATCTATCTATCTATCTATCTATCTATCTATCTATCTATCTATCTATCTATCTATCTATCTATCTATCTATCTATCTATCTATCTATCTATCTATCTATCTAATCTATCTATCTATCTATCTATCTAATCTATCTATCTATCTATCTATCTATCTATCTATCTATCTATCTATCTATCTATCTATCTATCTATCTATCTATCTATCTATCTATCTATCTATCTATCTATCTATCTATCTATCTATCTATCTATCTATCT